TTAACCCATCAGTTAACTGATTACATCGCGCAGTTGGCAAAAAACAAAGCCGCGCCAAAGGACCCCGCAGTGCTGTTTGAACAAATACAGCAGATACAGTCATTTATCGATAACATCAATACGCGTCCACCTCTCCTTCTTAGCGCACTTTCAAGTCAGGTGTTTCAAAAAAGACCTTCCGCATCCGCACCTGACAGATCTCCTCGCATACTACGGTCTTCATTTCGCAGATTTCGACGTCGCATCTGCCGCAGCCACAGCAGCTATTGCTGAAGCACGCGCAGTCATAACGCAGCAGTCGGCATTGCTTCGCGAGTTGCTTAACACGTCATTCGAAGCCAAGGCTGAAGTTAAAGAAGCTGTACACCAAATACAGCGCGCAGCTCAACAGCAACAGCATCAGCCCAGTACTTCAGCGCAGTCGGCTCCACGTCCTGTACCGCAACAGCAGCGCACAACTGTCGCTACTCCAGCACCGCGTTCTCTGGGTTCGCCGACGGCCACATTCACGCAACCAGTACGATCAGCGCTTTCGTTTTCAGGCTCCTCCGGATCTCTATGCGCACTCGGAGGCTCCTCATACGAGGAAGAAGAAGACGCGTATGGAGAAACGGAAGGTCCACCGCAGCGCACTCGCAATCAATCGCAGAGTTCGGGAGATCAATGTCCTGAAGAATGGCGTGTCGAGCCTATCACGAAGGACACGTTCAGGCAAAAAGCCCGCTGTTTCTTCTGCGCAAGGGAACACTATTCCTCTGGTTGCCAAATGTGCCGCGGCTAAAGAAAGAATCAGGATACACGCAGAAAGCGGCAGGTGTTTTATTTGCGGCGGCGATCATGGCGAAGAGCATTGCGATTCCACCAAGCATTGCAGAGCATGCCGCGCACGTGACCATCATACAGCATTCTGCTTCAGCAATAGGCATGTCATCGCAGATATTATGGGGCCAGAGCTTCGCGACTATCTGTACGAAGCCAAGCAGTATGCACGCGGCGTGAGGCAGCGGCGCAGGATGCTGTGAGCAAACTCACGCAATATGAAGCGCACTTGACATTTAATTTTTATTTTTATATTACGCGCAGTGGTCATTTCTGGGCATAAGCCCGCGCAGTTTCGGTAAGCGCACTTGCACACACTAAGGACAAAATCCATGGTGTGGATTCAAAGCGCACTTTTCGTATCGCATTCTTTCGGTTCTGCTTGTCAGACCGCGCAGTTTCGTCGCGCACTTTTCACAAAGTGCTTGGTTTTTGTCGGTGTTTTATGAAAAGCGTATGTGGACGCCCCCTTGGGGCATGCAGTAGGAGACCGCATTTTCGCTTTCGCTCGTCCTGGGTTTAAGCTACGTGTCCTGTTCAGAAACCCTTGAGGAATGTTTCGCAGTCAATGTGAGGAAAATCTCCCACTCACACCTAAATCAAAACCCCTTGGAACACAGAACTCGCTCCCACGTAATCTTCATAGGCCCGCAACTTCTCATCAACTCGTCGCAATCTCACCACTGTCTACTACATCCGTCGAAGATGTTATTCTACGTCGAAGCGCCTTTGGTGAAGTCAGCGCAGTTGCTGAGAGTCAACGTTATTCGCCAAAACTTACCCGCAATCATGGTGATCTTCCATGTGTTCATGTTTTTATTGATTACTACTTGTATTGTATTTATTTGTATTTACCAACAGCTATTGTAATAAGAAACCCTACGACACCGCATTTCGAAGATCGATCCCATGGTTCCTCGCACCCATGCGCGTTGGGGGAAACGCATGGCTACTTAGGCCCAATCTGGTAGGCGTCGATTAACGTGTTTGTAAATAAGTAGGTAAGCGGTGCTCTCCAGCTCCTGTGACCTGAGCGGCTTTCTCGTTTTGCCGCCCCCAGTGTCGTGACTTTCGTACGACCTCTATCTATGCACAGTGTACGTCGTCACGGCTCTTAAACTTCACTCGACGCCGAGCCGGTCCGCAAGCCATCTTTAAGGCCGAGTCGTCAGAGTCCGCACTGGGTCTTCACGCGCACAAGTCGACGCGCAGGGAAGGATTGGCCCACGCCACTTTTTGGGCCTGGAAGTTTAAGCACATTCGATCGTCAGTCGCCTTCACTTCCTTCGTCCTGCACGGTCGTTTTCCTATCGTCATCCCCTCATCTACCATGGTATCTACTGGCTAATGCCGTCCCTTGTCCTTCATCCCTTCGTCTCGCATCTGGTTTTATCTCAAGCGCAGCTGCCATTAATGCGCAGAAGATTGACGGACGCAGTGGTATTCGCGAGATGTTCTACGAGCGCCGTCGTCCGTCCCCCGGACGACCCTTGGGGCGCAGCGCACTCAACGGATGGACACCTTGGACGAGGATCTACAGGTTTGGAGGACAGGAACCTTCACTCCTCTACGCTCCGCGCCCGGACGTGACGAACGCACCCCGGCTAACGCGCAGTGTATGAGTGAAGGGGCTCGAGGCACCGATGGCCCCTAATGAGGCGAGGAAACCATCCCGTAGGTTTACTAGTTTAGGTTCGTAGATTGTGTAGATGGCATAAAGCCAACTTTATTTACTTGTGTTCTGTTATGTAGCAAAAGTCATGCGCAGTAGTGAAGCGCACCTTTCGGATACTTTCTTTCACTTTCTTTACATGTGTAATCTCCACAAGAGATCGATATTTATTGATCGCAGTTACTACGGCTAACATTATCAACACAATGTGGATAACATATGCTGGTGGTTATAAGCGCAGGTGTCGGATAACATCATGGGAAGGTGGAGATGGGTCTTAGCGCAGTTGTCTTCTTCTTTCAGGCGCAGTGGACTTCTAGCAAGGAAGGCAGGATCAGGGGCAGCGGAGGATGAGGACCGCTGTTAGAGTGGCAGGCAAACTTAGGCGCGTGTCCCTCCGCACTTCATCCAAAATCACGGCACCGGGCTGCAGGCCACTTGTACGTCATCTTTGCCAGCTTTGAATGCTGAAATGCTTTGAACGCGCACCCTCTCGTTGGCATTATTTTGCTAGTAATGGTGATGCTAAAGATCTGATTCAAAAAAGTAATAGAGAAAAACAGCTAAGGTGGTCGGAAAATTATGGGCCCGCCCATTATATTAGGTTAGAAAGAAAGTTAAACCACCCTACAGCCCGATTTTGAAATAAATTTTTATCTTTCTTTTCTCCTGTGATCCTTAACACATTGACCATCAGAAACGGCAGCAACACCCCAAAATCTGAGCCTTGGTAGATATCAGATTTGTAAAAATTAGAGTTTTTGTATGAACTGCTCGAGTTCAGATTTGAGGTCTTTTTGTTGTAGAGCTTTCTTTCTCGAAATGATGAGCGAGCAAGTGGAAAGTGTGGGGGCAGTTTTGGCGAATATGGCCTATGAGCAAAACAGTCAAGATCGAGAATCTTGTGGCGTGAGACCGAAGATATGTGCACACACGCTTGTCGTGGATCAAGTAACTTGTCGTTCGCTTCGCGAGGTTTTCTTGCAAACGGCCATCTTGACATGGCCACGTGGAAGATCACATCGCAGGCTATCACGGGACGATTCTACACGCTTCCAGTGGACCGATCTCTCCAGAAGAAAATAATACAAATCTCG